GACGTGCATGCAATCGGTGGGCTCATCAATGGGTCACGAGTGAGGGTGTGGTGAGGAGGGGTGGGTCTTCTCCTGCTACATCTAACCTACCAGACAAGGAAGGCCAGGCATTAACTGCGCCAAATGCTTTAACAGCAGGAGGGAAGAGGGCGGGGCGGGCGTGGGAGAGAGCCGGCAGAGCCACGTGTGGAGTGGACTCCATTTTTTCGTTCGATGGTGAGGGAGACAGCTGGGCGTAGCTTCCCCGAAGAAACAAGGCATCAAGCCGCCCCGGCCCCGCTGGTCCATGGGAGAAAGCCCAGACATGTGGAAAGGTAAGAGGATGGATGAAACTGGGAGAGTTTGCTTAAATGGGTAAGGTTCAGAGTACGTTAATGCCCACGATAAACATTCAGCGAGCACCAGACTTGACTATATATGGCTTCATTTAACTTGCTCAAGGTCCTTGTAGTCGTCCTCGTCTTTCGTTAGCCTGCTGGAAATTGTTTTCTTCTCGAAACTCATGATGGTATACCTCTAAAGGTGTGACTTTTTCTCGGTCAAGCCCACCAAAGGGAACATTGTAGGCACCAATCTTGCATGCTTCCAGGGCAATCTCCATATGAAGTTAAATATGTAGCGTTGGGCCTAGGGGGGTTACAAAGTCAACCATATAAAGTTTTCCGTGGGATAGTTTTGAATTACATGCAGAAATTTTATTTTCGTTGACAAGAACTGTTTGTCATGAGAACGATATCTGGCTTGAGTTAGTGATCGGACTACAAATACAATCTCGTGTCTTAATTATTGATTCCGCGGGCCCATCTTCATCAAGATTCCTCAAGTGCCACCACTTTTGTATTGAAGAAATCTTCAATGGAGACAAGGTAGAAGTCCAAGTTGTGGTGTTAAAGGACCTACATGGCGTCGTTTCCCTGTAAATTTTAGATGCCAAAGGTTGGATTGCTCCTCTGTCCGTCTCTCTCTCTCTAACCAACAACTATGAGAAGACTCTCCTCTGACTCCATTTCGTTGTAACGCTCTCAATGAATTATAAGTATTTTATTTTTCATCAAGTAGACAACATAAGTGAGATATGCTCAATGTAGGATCAAGTTTGGAACTATGAAATTGATAATTTAATTGTCGACATAGAAAGTAACCAACAAAAATGAGAGTAGCCCAGGAAATTGAACCTCATGATTTGGTTTTTCCGATTCAATGTAGAATTATGCCGACGGCAGTAAGAAACCGGACGGATCCTCCTGATTCTGCCTCGACTGCCTCTTTATTTTCACTCACATGATGAGATGACGCTTACAATTTATGAATAGACCCGGGTTACGGGAGAGCCCATGATCATCATCCCTCGGCAGAGAGCGAGGACTGCGAGGACTGCGAGGACTGCGAGGACTGAATTATTGATGCCCATGTGTCTTTTGACGAATTCTCCGAAGAGCTTCGTCGCTGTAGAGCGAATCTACCCCTGTCATGGAGAGAGACCAGGGTGAGAGCTACCGCACATAAGGGTATCACTTAGGGTTCCGCCTGCTGCCGTGGAGGAGATGCACTGTCTTCATCGGGGGGGAGCTTTTCCTCTTCCTGATCCCACCGTCTCTGTCTCTTGTCAACTGCCGCTTTTGGTGGCCTGGAGGATGGCATCGGCGGCCACGCCGCCGCCGCCGCCGCCCCGCCTCCCCCCATCGACGTCCGTGTCAAGAAACTCCCAACCAATACCTTCCGGATCTGTCTGCCTGAGCAGTAATTACTCGGAGCTTATCTTCTTCCTCACTATGCGAGAAAATAAACTGGTTTGGACCTGATCTCCGTCCCGCCGCCACCCTCCGGGGGACGGAGCCGAGACTCGGCGGATTAGGAAACTTCTCGCCGCGAGGCCGCCTCCCCGGAGACGGCGTTGTCCACGGGGATGCGAACGCTCTCCTGCCCGAATCTTCCCCCAATGTGGAGAGAATCTAAAGCTTCCGACTGGACGAGTCACGTGCATTAATTGTATAACGACAGATAATCAGTGTTTCTCTGTGGCCATTCAGACCTTCCATCGGAAGTCGGCAAGTGAAAGCTGACGAAACCGACGTTCCAACGCATAAAATGCACGGCCAGCTACGCTATTTTGACAATCCTCTTTTGGGCTCGTTCTTCTCTCTCTAGAGAGAGAGTCGTGGCGTAGATTGATTTCATTGGTTAATTTTTTGTTGTTTAATTTAATTGTTGGAGGGAGACTGATGGACAATCTGCATTATCCATGTCGTCGTCAAGGTGATCCAGCTGATCTCCCATCCCATTTGGACGTTCAGGCCTGGTTTTCGGATCATCTATGAGTTTAGGCTGTATATTTTTTCGTCATGTTTGCATGCTACAAGGCATCATACCAGATCAAATGAAAGTTAAGTTTAATTCTCAATGAGATTAGGACGATTAACAAGATTATCCATGAATTTAGGACGTGGTTGGAAGATCGTGTGGTTTGAGAAGGGCTCAGTCCGAAAACTAAGTCAACCCTCGTTCTGGTGAAAACCCATGATATTATGTTTAACAGCGTTGGAGTTCCCTGGGGGCGGTATGATGATAGTTGCGATTTTGATCTCCCTGAACTATACATAATTCACAATATTTCTTGCTGCCATACCCATTCATGACAAAATGTCGAATCAAAACGATAATTGTGAGCCCATATTATCCAAACATGACGTCTTCTATGATCTTCATTGACGCCGCCCCGCAGCGCCATGGCCGAGCAGGAGATTCGAAGGCTCATTTGAAAACTGAGCCCTCTTCAGTAAATCACAGTAGACCATAAGGCATGATCTTACGGGTTCGCTGTCTTTTCCCGATACCATCGAGTCTTGTGTTCAATGCTCACAACGACACACGAGCCAATTGGAAAATGGTCTCCACTGAACAGAAATTTCGTCTGCAATTAGCCGAATCCTTTACGTCGAGTCTCCCAGCGGATTCAATCCCTTTGAAGTACGCCATGCTGGGTGTGGCCCCCGCACAGCCTCTCCCCCTCCCCCATCGATCACATTAAGTTGCCCTTTAGGGGGCTGTCTCATGCATGGCCAGCATGAAAATCTCCGATGTTCCTTCAGCGCGTTTTCTGGGCAAGGCAATGAGGGGCCGCCCGTCACGGTGTTCTTTTGTCGAACCTGTCCGACAGCCAAAAAACCTTACATTAACTGCACCACCGGGAGCCGGAGACAGGTGGGGAAGGCTGGAGCAGTCGTGCTGCATGAGAGAGACGCCGTCCGGCAGCCTCATGTGCCGCAGAGCTCGCTGGGCGCCACAGCCGACCAGAAAAATGGGTCCCCCCCCCATGGCTTAGGCTGGAGGGAGAGAGAGAGAGAGAGAGAGAGAGAGAGGTCGTCCTCGAAGTCCTGGTGAGTTGTTTAGGTCTCGAATAAGGATCGGGGGAGAGGTCAACAAAGCGGCAAGGGAGACCGACGGAGTAGGGCAGGGTCTAGGGTTTAGCCGACCCATTCACAACTGAGAGGTCTCTTCCAACCGCTTCCAGGGAGTAGGCGAGGACCACCTTGCTGGTCTGCCAACCGGGCGTAATATTTCTTCCCAGCCCTTTTAATGTAGGAGTTCGCTCTCAGGAAGCGAACCAGCCGTTGAATTAATATCTCATTATTTCTCCGATCTCGGAGCACCAGAGTGGAATGGAGACAAGGCTGGCGACAGGCTATTCTCATTCATAGCGTCAGAGCAGAGAAATGGCCGAAACATGGAAAGAATAAGACACTGATTAAAAGGTTTCCGAGGGGAAGCAACCCCACGCTCTGGCCCATTCTCCCTGAAAAATGTCCAAACCAGGCCCGGATAATAGAGTAGAGGCTTCTACCCCTCCTTTCAACCTACCCCCTCTATCTCTCTATCACCCTCTATCTCATTTTAGTGCTCACGGGCCTTGAACTAGCCTTTTCAGAGTAGGACAATGCTCAACAATCTCTTTTTGAGGTGTTGAGACATGTCTAATATCTCTTATTGGACTATCAAAGGAGACCTATTGGGCTGTGCATTGATCCAAAAAAGTAGAGGAGTAGGAGAAGGTGAAACTATGTCTGTTTCAATTTATGCCACATGGCATACTTGAAAAAATCTCTTAGGGGATGATAGGGGGTATAAAAACTAGCCAATTTTCCATCCTGAATTAGAGGTTTTTGATGAGACCTAATGGTAATCTCATTTTCTATCTTGTCTGTTCTCTCTCTTGGTTAGTTCTCCTCCTCTCCTTCTCTACAAAAAATGAAGTCAGATTGAAGAGAAGAAGACAACTCTTTCATACATCAACGAGTTCCATCAGTATCTGGATTTTTATTGGATGATTCTCAGCAGCCAAACTGAGTTCTTATGCCTATATTCTTCTCCCATCTTCAAATTACATTATATTCTTGGTTTTCTGTCGTTGGTTTTTATCTCCACAAAATCAACAAGTACCATTGGATCATAGGTCGAAAGTGATAGAAAACATGATGAGCACTTCTTATTCAAGATTTGACATTGAGATTGGATGGTACATCTAATTGTTGTTTGTGGCAGCATCCAGTGAAGGCCTAGTTAAGATATTATACGGAAAATAGAAGAAGCCTGCAATGATGTTAGATGATGATTGAAAAAACATAGAATTAAAAATAGCGTGTACCATTCAATTGTGTTTTGTATATAGTGCTTTGTATCATGACTTGGATGGGGACTCACATTTTAATATGTGAACAAAATTAATAATTTTTTAATGTCGAAATCTTTGAAGAATAAACTATTTCTTAATCATAAGTTACATTAACTTAAAATGGTAGGGAGTCCAATCTTACAATACATCTATCATTTCAATCAGAATTTAGTAATCTATTAAGATTAGAAGTTAAATTTAAAGATGAAGATGAAACATTGATTTTTCTTAGCTCTCTCTTTGACGCATATGAGTATCTAGTTACAACACTGGTGTGAGCAATATAAACTCTTGATATTGAAGAGGTGATAACAGCTTTCATGTAATACTATTAGAGAAAGGTGAAACCACATGATTGAAGGAACAATGGGTAGAGGAGGAAAAATAAAAAAGGCGAGGAAAAGAGAAAAGTCATTAGAGATGAAGAAATCTCAGTCCAGGTCAAAGTCCATAACACACTTGCTTCAGATTGTGGAATATCATATTGTGGAATATTATGTGCATCACGAGAAGACTAATAGTTAGAGGAAGATAACATAGAAAGATAAAGAAAGAAAAGAAAGTCAACAAAAATGAAGAAATCACAATCAAGGCTTAAGTTTAAAACACAATTACTTCAGATTGTGGAATGGCACATGCCCAAGAAGATGTATCTCTTTGATTTAGAGTAAAGCCTTGATCTTTCATCACTTGGTATATGACGTGCTTTGGACATCTAAATATTTTTAAATTTCAATAGTCCACTTCTTTATCTATCTACACTTCTTTAGTAACTTTTCCATCAAAATCAATAGTTAACAATTTGATAACGACATAATACATTATATTGACTGCACTTGTCATAATTTTTTTGTTAAGTTTACAATCAAACTCAGACATTTTGCTCTATTGGAAATTATATTAGTCATTATTGACACAACTCCATTCCACTACAATGATTTTATGAGAACATAAGTGACTCTTGATCCCATGCTATTCACAATACTTTAGAAACATAGAATCATGATATTTTGCCTCATTATCAATCGTCAATACTTTGATCCTACTCTTTGTCTAATTTTTCAATTTTTTTTTCCAACAATTTGAATTTTGCAAACATCTCCTTTTTATATTCATGAAATTAACTAAAATATTACTACAATAATCATCAATAAAAATTTAAAAGTAAAAAGATCTACCCTTTGACTTACATTCAAAGGTCTACATAAATTAAAATGTATATAATTTAGTACTTCTTTGTTGTTATAGATGGTTATTCTAAATTAAACATTTCAATTTTTTCCATGATATAATATTAACAAAAATATAATTGACAAGCTTTGAATGTCTTATAAAGTTCTTACTTTTGTAGCACCTTTATACTATTCTCATAGATATGGTCCAAACTCAAGCATAATAATTGCATGGTGTCTTTTGTATAGTCTTTAGGTATTACTAGTGCAACTTTACTCATAATAGTGCTCCAAAAATTGTAAATATTTCCTACTTTCTTTCTTTCATTGCTACTAGTACTCATTTCCAAGCTTTTAAGATTCTATTTTTAACCTTAAAATTATAGACATTTAAAATCTAATATTTGGAAATAAATTAGATTCTTCTTAAGGTGAATACATGTCTCACATCCCTTGAGATTTTCATGATATGATCAAATATCTTATATTTAATAATACAAATTTAAACAACCTAATAATTAATTAATAATATATTTTAAGTTTTAACTTATGATAAATATATGTATATTTATGTTAAATTATGAAAAATAGTTTTTTTTAGTTAATATAAATTTTTAGTTAATTATGTAATTTTATATAATTTTTATAATCATATTTTTGAGATAAATAAAGTGAAATAAAATATAAATATAAAATATAAAAAAAGGAAAGGGTCTCACTGGCCAATCGGGCTTGCAAATAGGTCATAAGTACAATCGATTGGAGCCACGAGTAGAGGGCTCGAGCAACTAAGGACTAGTAAGAGACATGTGTACATCACTCTCCTTCCACATCACTAATGGCCAATTGAGTGTGGGGTAAAGAATAGTCATACACATGTAAGAGAGAAACTTATTGGTCACATAATCTAATGTTATTATATATTAGTCTCAAAACTTAGAAAATAATTGATGTGGGATTATACAGTTATTATACGTTTCTAATTTTTTTAATAATTTTAATATACTAAATATGTCTTATTAATAAGAATGATATACCCTTATGACATCACTTTATAAGAGTATTAGTGTACTTATTTCACACTCTTTCATATAAGCAGACAATTGATGAAGGTTCAAATCTTACCAAAGTCAAAACTCATATTTTTATTTGATTAAATCATGATTTTCTTGTAGATTGTTAATGTACACTTAAACCATAAGAATACTCAATCATCAATAAAAATCTCGTCAACATGATTCATGAAACATTGTTACTAAAATTTTCGAATGATTATAGATAAAAAGATCGTGAATCTATTAAGTAAATCATCTCAAATTGATCGACAAATAAGTCATCGTTAGGAAGATGACAACTTTTCGGGAGAGGAGTCGTTAGTTAAAATTGTACTAGATGTGATGAAGAGCCTCCTCTTATTGTATGGACATGATGATGAAGCTTTTTAAGATGTACCCTATTTTTATTTAGTTTATTTCTGTCAGGTGATAATCAATAGAGACTTGTAAAGTTGTTATTCTTCCGTTCCATAAGGTGATAGCCATCGGATAAGATTCGTTGACTCACTTTATTGATTTCTAGACTTTACAAAAAGATCTAGAAATTGCTCATATTGTCTTTATCCAAAAAGAGCATCTATCACGATAGTATTTCAAAATGCTCAGAATTTTAATGTATCACTGTTGCAACATTGAAATTTTATTTTATCAACTTTTAACTATTTTAACTTTCACCATCATTTTTTAGACTTTGAAAAGAGATCTAGTAAATGCTTAGGTCGTTAATGTCTAAAGAAAGCTTTTGAGGCCATAAACATCGTTCGATAATCTTCTCGAACACAGAATTCCGACAATCAATGTTATGAGGTCAAAACTCTAATTTTCTTACTTTCAACTTAATTTTTTCTTTATTTAGTGATACTTTGTGTGATTTCAAGTCTTGAAATTATTCTTTATTTAGTTATGATTCTTCTAGCTTTTATAGATCTTAGTTTGATTAATTAATTCATCTATAATTAATTACGTAAGAATTATCAAATAGAACTCTATTTCATTCAGTTCACATTCGTTGGGCCATTGACATCATCCTAACGTCCACACCCTTTTTGTGAATTTTAAATATATTTTATCTTTATTTTGGAGTCTAAAAACCATAAAATATTATATACCTTGTAAAAAATTCTAAAATATTATCTAATATTATATTGCATTCTTTTGATTGACTTCAAAATTTTCTACTATTTTTGAAACCTTTTATCAAATTATAAATAATTTATTTATTCTAAAATATTTCTAATAATAATAATAAAATAATATTTTTCTAGTTTTATAAAATTTAAATTTATGTGATTTATTATACAATGATTAAGTCACAAACCCTCACCTAGCTCAAATCAGCATGGTTGTGATGCCCTAAGTTTGTAATCTCTCTCTATTTCCTGTATTCAACCCTCATATGGTCTTCTAGCTGTCTTTTGTATTAGCTTGTAAGAGTTTAATCAATACAACATGTGAAACATGGCATGAAAAATATGAATATAATATCTATGAGTTTGTAACTTTTTGTATTATATAGACAACATATTCCCATTATTACTTTATGATTTACCCTTTACAACATTTACAAAATATGAAGAGTTATTCTTAGGACCCTTTACATAGATTAATTTTGAATACTATCTCCTAACGGGCCATATATGACAAAAACATGAAATTATCTATGAAGCATTCTGATTCATGCAATGATCATCACCAAATTAGAATGTGATTACAAACAAAAATGTGGACATCCTAAATTAGAATATCTAAGAGAAAATTGACTGATATATATATATATGAAAATTAAATATACATTAGTATGACAAACACCTAGATATAATTATATGGGAAGCCAAATATTCATAACTTTAAAACTACATAGGTTAAATATTAAATATTTTGGATGTGTTATAAAGGAGAGGAGAAACTAGACACATGCTCCACCTAACTGTTATGTTATTTTGAAGTGACTACTAGAGAAGTATCATGACCAAATAAAAACATCCTAGCTTTTATAAAGTGAGACAATTTTTTTGTTGTTATAAAGGGGGGAAAAATTGTGTATAAAAATTGTTAGATTGAGAGGGAGTCTTAAAGTAAGGGGAAAATATACCAAATATTAAGAGGAAGAAAGTAAATAAATTTTATAGTATTATAATCATTAAAAAAATTAGATTGTTGAGGTATGGATCAACTCAATAATGCTTGATAATTTATATAAGACAGAAATCACTCTAATTTAAAAGCATGAAATTGATGATATGAAATATTTGTCTTAAATAAATATGATTAAAAAAGATTAAATCCTTTGGCAAATAAAAAAAAAAATCAATGAAGATTATGTGTATGTAAGGGGATTGCAATAACCTCACATGTTGTAGAGTGATATAATTGATGATCTTGATTACTGAATATTGAGGAAGTCTCACTTACCATTCAATTTTTGTTAGGGAAAAAAAAGTTAAACAATCTAATTATAAATATAATAAGAAATTTGTGGAACATCAAATAGTCATTATCATAAACATGTCTTAGTTTTCTAATTTTTTGTACTAACTAATTCAGGGCATATGTAATAAATATTGTACATTACGCATAAGAAAGCTCTCTAGATAAGGAGTCAAATATAGTAAATATCTTAGAAAATTATGAAGACATTAAATTCATATTAATTTTACAAGATAACTTAATTTATATTTTCACCCAGAGATAAAACAATCTGGAAGTTTAGCATACCTAACTAAAATAATTTTATTTGAGAACATGTCACAAGTATAAGTGTGCGACTAGTCAATGGAGAGATAATCTAAAAGTAAGTCAACGAATCAAAATTCAAAATATTCAAAGATTCATAATTCTTACAAATAAATTTCTTATTTTTCATAACCTATGTGCAGCCCACTAAGGTCTGCCTAAATATTATATGTTGAGCAGACCGTTAGACCGATAAAGACAAAATAGAGAAAGCCCAACTCAATACACCTCAATCAAAATAAGCATTCACTCAAAATTAGGGCATGTTAAATTCAATCGAGATCTTATGACAATAACAGTTCAACCATGTCCCCCTCGTCTCCTTTGGCTCTACTAATCAATGTCTTGGTTGATCAATACCAAATTAAAGAAGAAAGTATGGAACAAAATTCAAATTAATAATTTAGACAACACATCTACTGCAATGTCTTTCTCATCTTTGGGAGCTCTCAAAGTCTACTAAACAAGTAAGGTCAAGAACGAATCAATGGAGTTGTGTATTTGAAAACAAATTTCAAGCACTACCACCATTGGTCCAACCTCATTCATGTTCTCAAATAATGCACAACAACATTACCATCATTGGATGGTAGTTGTAATCTAATTTAAGTTGATTTATTGTCAATATCTTGATTATTAATATGTGGACCCATTGAAGCACCCATAATACATCATCAACACATAAATCTAGGTCATAGAGGCATCTATGATATGCTTGAAATGAGAAAACCTAGAATTGTTAATTTTGTAGAATTCTAAGAGATGTCACATGCTCATATAACTTAATGATATTAGATAGTTCATGATCCCAAGATATAAAATATATTTTGAGTGCTTGAATAATACAATTTAGATTCCTTAGAAGTGGACGCACATCGAAGGAACTTGCTCAAACCACTCTAAAATCTTAGGATAAAAAAATTATAATATTTATAATATTAATATAAACTAAAATACAAAAATTAATGTACTTAAATATATAAAAAAAGAATTAATTCACTCTTTCTCTTGATTCATCTCACTATATACAGGCTGAAAGAAGTTGCTAATGAAGTTTTATTGATGAAATATTTTTAAAGAAACTTGATATTGATCAATGTGTAGTTATGCATTATGACAGTCAAAGTATTATTTATTTGGTAAGTAATCAAGTGTACTATGGGAGAACAAAAGATATTGATATAAGATTTCATGAGGTTTTAGAATTAGTGAATTAAAAAGATATTTGATTAAATAAAATTTAGAATATAGAAGAATAATGAAAATATGTTACCTAAGTTAGTGGCAATCAAGAAATCTAAGCATTAATTGAATTTTGATTCAAGAAATCTCAAAGTTTTAACTTGTTGAGAAGGTCAAGAATCTTCTAAGAAAGAAGCATTGAATGGAGCACAAAGGTGTAATATTTGATATCTTGAGATATTTGTCAAAATGGAGATGATTAAGATACGAGTTATATCTCTTATGAAGCTTCGCAAACTGGATGATCAAAAGACATGCTAGGCCTCACACCAACCCAATAAGAGAGGACTGGGAGAAGGCAAAATTATTTATCTTTTAGTTTATGTTACATGGCATACATGTAATCTCCCATGAGATGAGATGTAAAAACTTGTTGATTTTATATCTCAAATTAGAGGCTTTCAAATCAAACCTAATAGCAATCTCATTTTCTGTCACTTGTGTGCCCTCTGTTAGTGGCTCTCCCCCTCTCCTTCCATAGAAAAGATGAAGGCACACACAATGTAATTAGGGGGCCTTTGCCTAGTTTTCTATTGGTTAGTTGTTGCAAGCCAAAGTGAGTTTTTACACATATTCTTCTCACATCTTTGAATTAAGTTTTTTGTTTGGTTTTTTACTCTCCACAAAATCAATATAAGGCTTTTCTATGAGTTTAGTCTTCATGTTGAAATTGGTTTCTATTTCAATCTCATTTCATTGACATCAATAGTTCAGAAAATCAAAGTCCCACTTGATTCTAATGAGGTATGAGGGGATAAGATCTAGGGCGATTTGTATATGAGAGACAATCCAACAACACAAGAACAAGACCTATCACTAGTTAGAAGACTTGAATATCTCTATAACATAATTCATTCTATGGACACTAACCATATTAACAAAAACATTGTGAGCTTTTCATTTTAGATCCTTGCAAAATCAGCCAAATATTAATTAGTATTTTGGAAATTCTTGGAGCTCAAAGACTAAAAGGTGATGTAAAAACATGAGGGTTTATTAATAACGAATCTATTTTGTGAGAAAATCCTGCAATAATAAGTGGAAAAAGAAGATCTCCAAATGGGCCGACTAATAATTTGATCCTGTTACGGTAGGCGTGGAAATCTCAAAGATGCGCTTCTCCTACCTTATTTTAGCTAATGGATAGTCCACTAAGAAAATGTGCCGGACGTTAATCAACTGCTGGCCCAATGGGCTACAAACCCACCCCACAGGTAAAGCCCAACTATTAAAAAAATGGGCCAGCCCATTAACACAAATGGAACGTATTCCATCTCTAAATGAGCTCCTAATTAGCCAAATCCATAAAGAAAATTGGAATGGCTTCCATCCCGAATTGGGCTCCTAACTACCCGAATGAATGGACGTGCCCAACTGAAAAATGGGCCTTGACCAACCCAGTCCTCCCCACGTGGGTGGGTTCCGAAGACAATAGATGGGCTTGAATTTATCACTTACCAATTGGGGCAACTGAAAGAAGCCCAAATATATTACAAAACGTGCACCGCCGATCCCAAAGTCGGCTGTGGGGCTATTTTATTAAGGCAGAAATAAATAGTCACTATTAACCCGATTAAATAAATGACCTCAAAGATGGGCCCCACCTACCTCAAAATGGGCTTCGACGTGCTCCAAGAGCGGATTCCCAACCCAACCCGTTGATTTATGGCAGTCTTAGTGCAGTTAATTTATAATTTATTTTACCTTCTTTTATTCATATCCGAGGTTGCTGATGATTTCCAGGGCACATAAAAATTAAATATGAAAAAATAAAGAATAAAAATATTCAATGAACTTAAAAACATCTAAAACAAAAAAACCCGACAAAATTAAGGATATTTTAAATATGAAGTCAAAAATTATACAAATATCTAAAAGCAAGATAATGCAGCCATACCGAATTTTATTTTTTCTGATAGTAAAAACATAAAAACCTAAGACAAATAAATAATTTTAAATATGTTATATCCTTTGTAAATCAAAATAACACCTAGAATTTATAATAATAAAAAGTATGGAAGACTCGGAAAAAAATGGAAATCTAAATGAGTATTAATGCATTCTTAAATATAAAAATCAAAATATTCTCATAACGTCAAAATCAATTTTTTATTTCGTTCAATTCACCACCATTACGAATATTATTTTATCAGAACAATGGAACTAAGTCAAATAAAGTCGGTTGGGAAGATCCGGATTTAGGCGAATTTAGATTACCCATCAATTAATCAGATAAAGTAAACTCATATCAAATGCCCAGATGCAAACAAAACAAAAAAGTTATGCAGAAACATGTGAAAACGCCAGACTGCTTCAAGATTTGGGAAAATCGTCCAAAACTCGGGGTTGAGCACTGCTTTGTAGGCTTTACTCTTCTAGGAACGGATTTCACGCGCCTTGAAACCCAAGATCTTGTGGATGCAGAGTTGCCCAATTGCTTTCACATAGTCTAAATAAATGACAAATTATTTTCGAACAAAAGCAAGGTTCTCAGGGTTTTACATGAAAGTTATGATCTGTGGAAGGTGATGTGATGAAGACCCGAGGGAACAATGAAAGGGAATCCATGGAAGGAAGCAAAATACACAGAGATATCGCTCACAGTTATATTCAAAACCCTCCAGCGTCCTCAGCTAAATCCCAGGTCTGAAAGCAAACAAAATCCAAAGAAATATGCCTGAAAAAAAGAAAAAAAAAAAGCGAATTCAGAATCCATGAACAGCATTGACTGATTAGCAACCGAAAAGTTGGTAATGTACAAGGATAAATAAAAATTATCATCTTCACCGATAGCATATATTGCCAAAACTCTCCCTACACAATCTATGCCATAGATGATATAAAAACAAAAAAATAGAACTATAGATAAAGGAATATTGCAATCATCTTCTTTGTATTAAAATTCACATCAAACCAGAAAGTTTCACTTAGCATTGTCCATGCCTTGCTTTCAGTCATTATCCAGAAAGATAGTTACTTTCCATAAATACAGGCATGAAGTTAGGCAAACAGATAACTAATCATGAACTGAATGTTTCAGATAGAAAATAAGAAAAATGTCAATTACCTAGACAAGCTCAATGTAGGCCATGGGAGCATTGTCTCCTCGCCTAGGAAGGGTTCTGATAATTCTTGTGTAGCCTCCATTTCTTTCTCCGTATCTCCCAGGTACCTCGGCAAACAGGGCATGGACTATCTGTTTCTCATATATGAAGCCCAGAGCCTGCCTCCTCTTATGAAGAGACCCATCCTTGGCCAGGGTTATCATCTTATCAACATATTTCCTCATCGCGCTAGCCCTCGCTCTGGTAGTCTTGATTCTCCCATACTTCAGGAGCTGTGTTGTGAGGCAACGAAGCAGTGCTCTTCGCTGATCTGGAGGCCTGTTGAGTTTCGGAACACGTCTTCCATGTCTCATCGCATAGAACTTGCTTCCATTGTCAACGTTGATAAATGCCTGATCGCACTCAGCAGCATCTGGCACAGATATTTGAATAAATCACATTTGGTTGCACCAATTCTCCCTTACACTCGTGAGAACTTTGCTAAAATGTTTAATAATTACGAAAGAGATAATAAGGTTAATTATCCTGAACGAAGTTGCCATCCTGAGTCAATGGTCGTTCAGCTGCACAGATAACTAAAAAATGCAAACTAAAATTATGTAACTAAATTACTTGAAGGTGCCATGAAGAAACTGTTCCTATATATAGAATAAATAGATAAAATGAAGCTGAAAGAAACTGTGAAGAAGCAAAAACGCGCTACAGAAGTCTGCCGCAAATAACTAAGCATCTGACGTAAATGGGACGGAGTGTTGGGCTACTAAAAATCACACAGAAAATATGAGACTAGCTGCAAAGCGTAAAGGCAGATGTTCGAGAAGACAAAATAATTCAAAAGGGCGATATATTAAATGGCTCTTCTTAAAAGATTGTTGCAGTACTGACGGCAGGCGACAATCGAGGAAACTAAATCCATAAGGATTTAGATAAGCGCAAAGAAGACAAGAAGAACATTTAATGAGCATAGCATATAAGAAACTGATTGGAGGCATTGAAGAAAATAGAAAATTATGCAGAATAAAAATGAAATGGCAAGTGATCGAGTGGGTCGGAAGAAAAAGGATCCAAAGAGTCCATTAAAACTGTATTAGGGTGGAGGGTTCAGGCACCATCGTGGCAGACGGGGAAGGATGAAGGGCGAGTTGAGAGCAAAGGTGGTAAAGCATAGTGACTAAACTGAACGAGATCCTGCAATGAAGCTGGAAACTCACCCCCACAATAATACACCCAGACCAATTACAGGTTCACTACGTGTTAGTAACGAGACGTTTCTGCGTAAGGTCAACGATGAATGTATCGAGAGGAATGTACCCCATAAAAAGTAGGATTATCTCTCACTGAAGAAGAAAGAATAATTTAGACAGACATTGAAATAGATTCTGAGTCAACAATTATAGAAATTCGACCGACAAAAAAGGCTGAGGATGAAAACAGCATAATCTAGATAAATTCGCAACTCACCGGAACCGATCGAGAAGAGTGTGTTCAGGGTAGATAGACCGGAGTAGGACCTCAGGGGCGTGAGCTGCTTGCGGCGGGACAGCCCGAGTCTCGAAGAGGAGGGAAGAGAAGGGGCAGTAGCCGGGAGACGAAAGTGAGGAGGCTGAGACGAGGAACTCGAGGGGAGTGCGGCACGCAGGGAAGCCATGCTCCACGGTGAGAGAGAAGTCGCCATCGCCGCCATCGGGGAGCGGAGAGGAATCCTCGAGCAGCTCGGAGAAGCTCGCGAGTTGCCGCCGGGTTGGCTCAGGTTGCCCCTCCCTGCGCCTCTCAGAGCCTTCTGCCCTCGGCAGAGATAAGCCGCTATCCCCACCTTATCCACGTGTCTTTTCGGATACATTTACCGGGTCTGAACCCGACCCGAATCACCCTGGGAAGCCCAAAGCTCTCTTATTGGGCTACCTCTTCTCGGGTAGTGCTTGCCACCGTTCTGCTCGCTATTCTTCTTACATCAGTCTAAACTCTGAGTGAATTTCATCCCAGATTATTGCATAAACGGTTTGAATTTTCCCCTTTTTAGATAGCACATGGTCTTACTATCCAGTCAGCCTGTCATTTTCCCGAATTACCTAGGAGTTTTTTTTTTTTTTTAACCAGAACCCAAAAAAATGAAGCTGTAGTTGACAGTTTTCAATCTTATTGAGTCGCTATCTTTGAGGTAATCTTTGACTTATGACAAGGAAATTGAAACTGATCTCAGGCAATAAGTCAACCCCCCCCCCCCAAATGAGGTTGGCCACTGTAATGGCTCTAGAACTCTGAAAGGTCAAAGCTCAGTTGACCTTCTACCCGCAAAGGCAGACCGCTCTGGAGATGCCAGAGGATCATTGGCTGGAGGGGAAGATTTCCATGGACTTCGTGAAGAAGAACGGTGAAGGGAGCTGGAATGATGCTCAGAAGTAATCAGGGGCATCGAGATGTGGCAAGGTGCTGCCAATCATGATGGGTCAACCATCCCATTTAAGAAGGTATTAAGCTCCTTCTCGATCCACCAGGTTCCTTACTTCATGATCAGCTGCCCTCACCTTATTTCATATAACACAAGAATCCCTTTTTGGGGAATTACATTTGTTTTCATCATGATCTTCAAGATAGAACAATAAAATAATGCTTTTTTGAGGTTGACTTCTACAGTTTCCTTGTCTGGATTTGATTTTCCTGTGATCAATGTATGTTCTTGGCTTCAGAGTCATCCCCATCGTCATAATTCCTTCGGAGTTGCAGCCATCACGAGAATACTCTGATGCTCACCCCCCCCCCGTCTTCTTCCAGCTGCTCGAATGAACAGATGATGAAACCAAGATCTTCTTCCCACAAATCTCCCATCGGTCACATGAGATAGAGAATCAGGTCAGCGATGGAGACGACGCCATTGATGAGTCTGAATGGCCGCCTTCCTGAGATATCGGATGATATTGCTACCTACCATCATGTTTCAGATTTATGAAACCAGGAGAGGCCTACCCTGCCCCCACTCAATCCCTGATCCAGCTACTAGAGAGACTCCGAAGCCATGGCGTGTCAAATATGAATTTTGTGAAATACGACTGCAGTAAAAAATTAAAATTTTCAAATGACGTGTCAAATATGTGAGGAGATATTACTATTTATAGAATGCATTATTTTCAGATTTGGGATGGTTTTATATTTTTTAAGGTCAACATTTTCTTAATCGCAGGCAAGATATATATTCTGTGGGCATGCTCTCAAACGAAGTATCAGCAACGCGAGGAGAGAGAGGATATTTTTATTTTATTTATAAAAAAAAGTAATTCAGGGTTCATGAACATTCTTTTAATTTAAAGGAAAAATCTGGCGATATTCGGGCAAGATATTTATGCTGATATATAGATATTCTTTACATGAAGATCCACTTCGTTGAGGAGAGATATTCCTAGGATATCGAGCTAAAAAAGTAAGCAGGCTTTCAGACATATATTTTATATATATATATATATTATTAAATAAATATCCGGTAAAATATATTCGGTGATATTTATTTTCTTTTCATATGCAGAATCCCTCAGAACCGGATTCGATGGCTGCTCGGAGGCCCCGCTTTGAGAGGATGTTGCCACCCGAATTCCACGGCCTGACCGGCGGCGGCGCCGCCTTACCGACTGTAAGGCCTCTACGAAGCTTCCAGGTTAGAAAAATCCATGCTTTATTCGCTGACTTTGACCGACAACTATCACGTGCTTCCTTCCCCTGAGGCTCAGCAGAGCTATTTAAATGCTGGATGTCCCAGATACTGCGAGGAGTTGTTCTGCTGCCTTCGTGTTCCATCTGGGCCATTACTAAAAGCTCCCCGATTCAGAAAATCTTCCTCTCTCCGTAAATTTCGGTCTTATTTGGCCGTATTTTTTTGACCCGAAGGGAGAAGAAATGTTCATGCTTCAGATGGTAGAAGAAGAAAATCAGAAGACCAGGAAAGCATATAGCAAAAATCATCCAGAACTCGAAGAAATTTGTTTTTTTTTTTTACTACCGGAGACGAGTTGAGATATATACAACCGACTTCTCTGGGGCCAGGAGAAACCCTAATGTGAATTTCTAGAACCAATCGAAGGAAAGGAAAAAGAAAGAATCTTTGGTTGCTGTTTCGTCTATCTTCATCTGTTATCTCTGGTTCCGAGCTCCGTCAGGGTATTGTTACCCCTGACCAGAAGAGATCTCAGAAGGGTGGCAGGCCGCCCATTCCCGGTCTCAGCTGCGGGGAGGCGAGCCCCCCGAGGAGATAATCTTGATAGGAAAGGTCCCGGCCAGGGGCGGCGCCGTTGAAGGCCATGAAGGAGCTCTGAAGATCGTCCAGATTTAGATCCATGAACCAGTCGTTGTCCTCCTTCACCACCCTGGGAAACTCCAGCGATCTCGCCGCGTAATCTTCCACCGCCGCCGCCTCCGGGGGGGTGACCTCGTTCTCCACGTCCGACTCCGGCGTTCTCAAGCTCTCCGAGCCCGTATCCTCGCCGGCGTCCGCCACCGGCCGCCGCCTCTCCCAGTCGTTCTTCTTGTTGTAAAGCCGGCAAAGCACCCAGTCGTCGAGCTGCAGAAGCCACAGCCGGTCAGATCGAGCCCCCATCACCGGACCCGGAGACATTGCAGAAGCCATAGCCGGTCTTGCTTACCCTGAGGCTGCCGCCGCCCTTCTTGGCGGCGCGGTTGATGTTGGCGAGGCGATACTCGTGCATGATCCAGTTGGTCTTCACGCCCTTGGGAGCCTTGCCGGAGTAGAATACCAGCGCCTTCTTGATCCCCACCGCCCTGTCGCTCCCCCCCGGCGTCACCGGCTTGTCGGCCCCTGTCGCCTTCCAGTACCCGCTTCCGGCGGCCCTGTTCGGCCGTGACCCGTTGGGGTACTTCCTGTCCCTCGGCGTGAAGAAGTACCACTCCCTCTTCCCGAACAGCGCCATCTCTGCTCCCACAGGAAACTCATCCGTGAGTTGCAGAAGAGAGAGAAAGCTAGAGAGAGATAGAGAGAGGGGGCGAGGGGCGGGTGGGTACCTGGGAGCTGCCAAGGGTCGTACTTGTAGAGATCGACCTCGGCGATAATGGGGACGGGGAGTTGCTGGTGGGCGGCCTTCCGGCAGAGGTAGTAGGACACTAGCTCCTCGTCGGTGGGATGGAAGCGGAACCCCGGAGGAAGATTCAGCTCCGCTTCTGCGTCTCTCATCCTCGCCATCTTCTCTGCTTCTGGAGGAATGGGGAGTTGGGTTGGTCTGGTTCACCGACTCCAGTCGTCTTCTCCGGCTCCGGGGACAATCTGACGTTCGAAAGAACCGATGTATCGAGGAGTTGCATAAATACTCCTCCAGCTGAGAGTTAATCCCACGTTGCCGATGTTTTTGGATGAGCTCGAAGGAAGTTTCCTTTTATTTTCCGCGCCGCCAGAAATAGCCGGCGCGACTTCCAGACGGTCAAAGGTCCCCACGAGGGCCTTAGTCATCTCTGAGTTGGTGGCTGTAAGAGGCGGCGAATATGCCAGCGCATCAGCTATTCCGCACGTTGTATTTATGCAAGCCACGTGTCGATCTGATCGGCAATTGTCCTTAGCCGCCGCTAAAGAGAGACGCCGGGGACGACATTACGAACGATGGTGGGGACACGTTTAGCATACATACTTCCCAGCGATTGGTGCGTACAAGTAAGAAGCGGGGGCCGCCGCGGGGGTGTGGTTATTTCCCTATTTTTTAATAAAAAATAAAAAATCATAAATTTGGTTGTCTAGGCTTTTTGGATATCATATTTTTTATTACAAACATGTGATAAATAATAGATTTCAGGCATCTAATTCTCGTTTAGATGGCTCATGGTAGGTAAACTCACGTGGACACAAAAATCAACACCATTTTCCACATTCGATTTTGCTTTAAAATACTAGTGATTATGAAGAAACATGATTTATCTGTCTTATTTTTTATCCCTCAACAGTAAAAACGTGGCATGTGTAGCGCCATTTTATTGGTATTTAAGCATTAAAAACATGTTTCTTCCTATATCTTCACATTTTAGTTCTTCAGAACCTCGTTACTCGAATAATAAAAAAACCTTGGGGTTATTATTATATGTGGGTATAGGATGGGCACGTAGAGAGAGAGAAAGAGAGAGACAGACAGAGACAGAGACGGAGCTAGCGAACGAGCAAGAGAGCGACTCGGATGTGGTCAACCCATGTCGAATGTGGGGCCCATTGTAGTGACGTGTGCAACGCCATCGACGCAAATAGAGAACGTGAGATTCAAAGTATTCATCCGCTACCTTTACAGCCGCCATCAGGGGGCGATCGTGCGTGGGCCGGATTGGACCGGCGGCAACCAGATAGGCAACGGGAACCGAACCATTCAAATCAGGTCATACTTTCAACGGAGAGTCCGATGGAAATGGAAAATAACGTTGACTAGTTTACTTATTTTATTTGGTGGATAACTTAATCCTCGTATTTTAGATTGAGCCGGATCCGGGCCTTTGCCTTCTGAGTGGGCCATATGTGCACACACATACATATATATATATATATATATATATATATATATATATATACATATATCGAGAGAGAGAGGGAGAGAGAAAGGATGAGAGAGGGAGAGAGAGATAGATAGATAGATAGATATATAGAGTGAGAGTGTGTGTATGAGAGAGAAAGATAGATAAATATATAGA